TAACTTGTAAAACCTTTTTATCCTAACTAGTTACCTAGTATGGTCCATATATATTCCTTTCTATCTTACCAGTGGACATTTTGGCTCTTACTAGTTAACTAGTAAACATGTTTAGGTGCACTAGTTAACTAGTAGACACACAATTTTTTGTACTAGTAGATATTTTGCACCTTACTAGTTAACATGTAGGAATTTTTGCCTTCTACTAGTTTACTAGTAAGTCTTTCAACGTTCTACTAGTAAACTAATGCGGCCAAAGACTTCACTAGTACAGGAAACTGAGTTTTGATATCAAGGATATCTATTAAATCTTCAATCGGCTTTCCATACCACAACAGACACACAAACACAACACAAACAGACACCCACACACACACAGACACCCACACACACACACACACATAGAGACACAAAACAGACACACACACACACACATAGAGACACAAAAACAGACACACACACACACACACACACACACACACACACACACACACACACACACACACACACACACACACAGACACAACACAAACAGACACAAACGCACACAAAGACACAAACAGACAGACACATACACACAGAAAGACAGACACACAAACAGACAGACACAAACAAAACACAAACGGACAAACACACAAACAGACACACACACACAACAAACACAGACACACACGCACACACAGACACAACACAAACAGACACACACATACAGACAGACAGACAGACACACACACAAACACAACACAAACAGACACACGCACAAACAGACAAACAAAACACAAACACACACACACACACACACACACACAACAAACACGTACACACACACACACAGACACACACGCACACAGACAAACAGACACACACACATACAGACACACAAACAGACACACGTACAAACACAAAACAAACAGACACACAACACACACATACACACACAGAGTCTGTGTCTCTGTGTTGTTGTTGTTGTTGTTGTGTCTTTTTGTCTCTGTGTTGTTGTTGTGTCTTTGTGTCTCTGTGTTGTTGTGTCTTTGTGTCTCTGTCTTGTTGTGTCTTTTTGTCTCCGTGACAGACAGACACAAACAAAACACAAACGGACAAACACACAAACAGACACACACACACAACAAACACAGACACACACGCACACACAGACACAACACAAACAGACACACACATACAGACAGACAGACAGACACACACACAAACACAACACAAACAGACACACGCACAAACAGACAAACAAAACACAAACACACACACACACACACACAACAAACACGTACACACACACACACAGACACACACGCACACAGACAAACAGACACACACACATACAGACACACAAACAGACACACGTACAAACACAAAACAAACAGACACACAACACACACATACACACACAGAGTCTGTGTCTCTGTGTTGTTGTTGTTGTTGTTGTGTCTTTTTGTCTCTGTGTTGTTGTTGTGTCTTTGTGTCTCTGTGTTGTTGTGTCTTTGTGTCTCTGATGTGTTGTGTCTGTGTCTTTGTGTTGTGTCTGTTGCTGTGTCTTTGTGACGTTGTGTTGTGTCTGTGTTGTTGTTGTTGTGTATCTGTGTTGCGTTGTTGTGTCTCTGTGTCACTGTGTTGTTGTGTATCTGTGTTGTGTTGCTGTGATGTTGTTGTGTCTCTGTGTTGTGTTGTTGTTTCTTTGTGTCATTGTGTTGTGTCTGTGTTGTTGTGTCTTTGTGTTGTTGTGTATCTGTGTTGTGTTGCTGTGTCGTTGTGTCTGTGTCTTTGTGTCTTTTTGTTGTTGTGTCTTTGTGTTGTGTTGTTGCTGTGATGTTGTTGTGTCTCTGTTGTGTTGTTTTGTTGCTGTGATGTTGTTGTGTCTCTGTTGTGTTGTTTTGTGTATTTGTGTATTTGTGTATCTGTGTTGTGTCTCTGTGTTGTGGCTTTGTGTCTTTGTGTGACACTCTGAGCTAAAAATTAAACATGTTTTTGAGACACTTGTTCTGACTACATTTTCTAACTCAAAGTGTTTTTTCAAAGTCAAAAAACTGTTAGCAGTAAATCAGACAAAATCTGTTGAAACAGCTGTCCTGGTAAAAAATGAGCACAGTTACATGAAATAACATCAAAATTAACATTCCCTCAGCACAGACAACGCTATTAACAGCTTTAGTGATCAAATTTAGCGTCTCTTGTGAAGCTGAGATCGAAAGTTACATAAAACATGTTTGAGACATAAAGTGACACTTACGTTGAATACCTGTTCTGTCTACATTTTCTAACTCAAAGTGTTGTTTTAAAGTCAAAAAACTGTTAGGAGTAAATCAGACAAAATCTGTTGAAACAGCTGTACTGGAAAAAATGAGCGCAGTTACATGAAATCACATCAAAATCAACATTCCCTTAGCCAGACAACGCTATTAACAGCTATACTGATCAAATTAAGCGTACCTTGTGAAGCTGAGCTCAAAAACGACACTAAACATGTTTTTGAGACACAAAGTGACACTTACCTGTTCTGACTACATTTTCTAACTCAAATTGTTGTTTCAAAAGTAAAAATACTGATAGTAGGAGTAACTCAGATAAAATCAGATGAAACAGCTGTACTTGTAAAAAATGAGCGCAGTTACATTAAACAACATCAAAATCAACATAGTGATCAAATTAAGCGTATCTTGTGAAGCTGAGGTCAAAATTGATATAAAACGTGTTTTTGAGACATAAAGTGACACTTGCAGTGAAAACCTGTTCTTGACTAAATTTTCTAACTCAAAGTGACGTTTCAAAGGAAAAATACTGTTAGGAGTAATTCAGACAAAATAAGATGAAACAGCTTTGCTGGTAAAAAATGAGCGCAGTTACATGAAATAACATCAAAATCAACATTCCCTGAGCAACACAACGCTATTAACAGCTTTAGTAATCAAATTAAGCGTATCTTGTGAAGCTGAGCTTAAAATTGACATAAAACATGTTTTTGAGACATAAAGTGATACTTACAGTGAATACCTGTCGTAGCGTTCTGGAAACCTTGGTGGTTGCCACTATATCGACCATGGGCTTTCCAACGGTACCACCCACGAGTCTCTACGACGTCGGGTTGGGTCTGTAGGGGCTAAATTTTAATTATTTTAAATTTTTCCAAATTTGTAACTTTGGAACAGAAGGTCGTAGAGTCTCAGGGATAAGACCAGCGTTCAGCGTACCCGAATTATGGCAGACGGATGTGTTTTTGGAGTCTCTCCGTAATCAGGGTCAGGAGTTATAGGTGAAAAGGTCGCCCATGTGAAATGATAGTAAGTGAAAATTGGGTAGGGGGTTAGGGAAAAGGGGGTATTAACCGACGTGCTACCCCCTAGCACGTTGAAAATTTCTAATAACTTTTGATTGGTTGGTCGCATAGATTTGGAACCAAGATGCTACCCCCCAAAAAGGGGCATGGCCTAGCCAACGGTACCACCCTCGAGTCTCTATGACGTCGGGAAGTGCTCAAAGTTGATTGGTCGGACTTTGTTTTGGCCACATCTTGGGAACGGAAGATCGTAGAGACTCAGGGACAAGTCATGCGTGTTCAGTGTACCCGAATTATGGCAGATGGAGTCTGGACGTACCGTTGTGGAGTTATGACCTTAAACGTCTTGCCCGAATGACTAAGTGTTTTGTTAAAAAAAGTTCCCCCAGAAAGTATTTAGGAGCACGTTTCAGGCCATTTGGAGTCGATAAGTATATGTAATACAATTAAAAATTGTCCATACTTTTTTTCCCGCTAGGTGGCGCTATCTCCGCCAAATTATAGAAACGAGTAGCTGGGCTCAGTCCGACTCTGGATCCGTCAGAACCAGGTGTCTAGCACCTTCCTGGGCAAAGTTATGAACTTAAAACCAATTGTATTACAAATGTTGACATTGAAGTTCCCAACTCCTGAACAGTGATAGTTATTAACCTGAATTTTTGTGTGTGTGTGTTTCAAACCTACCTGCATTGGATCCGACGGTTCTAGGAGGAGGTGTAAGTGTTTTGGTGAAATGGTCAGGTTTAGTAGAAAGGTCAGGGTAAGGCTTATGAAGAAAGGTAAGTATGGGGACAGAAAGGTAAGTATGGGGACTCTTTGGTTTGGTCTCTTGGATCCTTGGGATTCTCCAGAATAGCTCTACCTAGTAGTGTTTACTCCTGCCTATGACACAGGAGTAAGCACTACTGGGTAGAGCTATTCTGGAGAATCCCAAGGACCCAGGAGGCACTCAAGCCCTCACGCCACGTTGAGGCAGAGTCCATGTGAGGGTTTTTTTTAGGGTTAGGGTAGGGTAGGGTTGTCTTTAGGGTTAGGGTTAACCCCTAACACAAACACAGAGACACACAAACGGACACACACACAAACAGACACAGAGACACAGAAACAGACACAGAGACACACAAACAGACACAGAGACACACACAACACACACACACACACACACGCACACACGCACACACACGCACACAACACGCACACAAACACACATACAGAATCACACATACACAAAACAAACACAGACACACAACACACACAGACAGACGCACACAGAGACACACACACACACACACATGCACAGACACACTCACACAAACACACAGACACCCACACACACAAAAAACATACACAGAGACCCACGCACAGGCACCCACACACAGGCACACACACACACACACAGACACACACTTTTTTTCCTTACAGCCCCTTAGGAAGAGCCCGGACGGCTCGAAACGTTGTGCCCCTGATAATGCACTTTTAGCAAATAAACATGTTTATATTTGGGAGCTTTAGTGTTGCGAGTCCTTTTTTGCATCTGTAGTATTTTTCCGACTCAGCACCTAACTAAGTGATGTGCGTGTGTTTTTTGACTTTTACAACTACACATAGTATATTTAACTAAAAATTGTAATGTAACAACTAAAACTAAAAATGTAACTACACATGATGTAATTACTTTAATGTAATAAAAGCTCATAATGTTATAACCTGAACATACTACAAAACAATGAACGCATTACATTACAACAGTGTAATGTGCATGATGAAATAAGCTACAACATAATGAGAAAGTTATATTATAAAGTAAGCCAAAGTGTTGTCATTTTGAGAAAACAGCATAAAAAAAACTGTTGCATGCTTAGTTTACAATGTTATAATTTCCTCATTCACTGAAATACTTTCACTCTATTTTTCTTCGCAGAGCAGAAATTCAATTTTTAAAGTATTTCACTGCCCTCCAGTCTCTGCTCTTCAGGGCTTGAGGTTCTGCATCGATGCAGCGCTGGCAGTCCTCCTTCCCTGGGACTTGGTTCATCACAATGAATTTCTTTAAATGTCTTTGTACTGCAGCACATCCTTCTGGTGTCCAGTTTCTTTTAACAGCAGTTTGTTTACCTAAACGGGCATAAAAAGGACAAGTTACAGAGTTTTGAAAACTTTAAATCATAACTAGAACTGAAATACTATCAGATTGATTCAACTGGTCATCCAATGAAGTACTGACTTGGTTGAGAGACCATACAGGACTCTCCCACAGTCAGAAAAATATACACAGTTTAACCAAACATTAACTAAATGGGTGCCTTATACCTCTTTTGCACACAAGTGTCACAGAACTACAACCTAATAAAGACCAAGTGATGGAGGTCTTTTAAAGTTAGCTTATCCATAGCTTAGTCAACCCTAGATTTAAAATATTACCGTAAAATCTGGTGTATAAGACGCACTTTTAATACCTATTTTTTCGTCTGAAAAGTTGGCTGTGTCTTATACACCGGTGCGACCAATATACCAGTATAAAATACTGAAACACGCGCTGTCATTACAGCGGGTGCAGCAGCCACTAACTGCAACCTGACGTGCTTAAAACCCATCCCCATTCAGTGTGTATTGAAAGCTGAGTGCACGCTGTGCTGGAAAAGACGGCGACACTGACCAGGCTGGCTGTGCGACTTTTTTCACATCTTTTCCCCCTCACAAGGTCACAACCATGCATTTACAGAAAACAGTGGTATATTGTGCTGTACTTACCTCTCTTTTTTTCAAACTTCCTCCTCTGGTTTTGGGCAGACGCTGTAGAGGTGCTTTCTAGTAGTGATGCGGTGCTGGCCTCATCTTCTGACCCCTGGGCTTCTGCCACCCTGGCATCTGGTAACAGAAAATAGTTTAAACAAATAAATGAGACAGCTATTGATTAAAATATGAAATATGACTATGAAGTAGCTCTCAGTAAGCTGGCTGCATTTTGATCTTTGTCATGTATACCTTGATTGGTCATAGTGACAACTATAAAATTGTAGTAATAGAGAGTAAAGATTTTATACAACTATATAATTTGTACATGGTTCCTGTGTCTTTTACAGATAAATGGACAGAATTTGTACATTATTCTTCTCAGCTTACCTCTAGTTTTTGCAGAGCTTCTCTGGTTTCGGGCAGATGCTGCAGAGGTGCTGTCTGGCAGTGACATCACACTGTCCTCATCTTCTGACTCCGGTGCCTCTGTAATGCTAGCAACTAGGTACAAAGAGAGGCCATTTTTAAAAAGCAACCGTGCAATGAGGCCACTGAGACCTTGCAAGACAATGAGTGCACTGACTGGGAAGTGTTCATCTCCCAGACAAGTGTGACTGAAGCTATTGATGTTCTCACAAATTATATTATCTTTGTGAACACATGGTTATTGTATTAAAAGTGATAATGATGAGAATCCAGGACCACTAACAATTTGAAAGACACAAAAAGGAAATCAGTCTTTGCTTCAGGCAACAGGACTGAGGCTGAACTTATTCAAGGCAGGCTAAATAATGAAATAAGACAGGAATTATAAGACAAAGGTTTTCCAAGAGGCCAAAACCAGGGATGTCTTGAAAGGTGTCAAGACATTTGCTGGCTTTCCAAACACTGAAGTCCAACCTACGCACAGCTGCAAACTGGAGTGGGAGGAACTGAGTACCAACCTTACACTGATATATGTAGAGTTTTCGCCCAAGGGATATTGAGGGGGTGCTCAAGAGAATACATGCAAATAAAGCCCCTGTGCCTGACATTAAAGCAGACGCCTTTTTGGAGCTCCACTATAACTGACACTGGCGGTAAAAGGCAGTAAAACTAAGCATGTTTAAGAGTGTAGATATCTTGGCAACCCCATCAACGACAAGCTTATTTTGAAGAGCAGCAGTAAACTGTTATTCTAGAGTTTCTGGGCCAGCCAAAAGTATTCTGAGTTTTCTACAGATGCTTTGAGGAACCTTTAACAACCCAGTGTGGTTTGGAGCAATAAGTGCTGAACTGAATCCCTTGAACAAGATTGTGAGGACAAGGAACAAGATCATCAGACAGGGACAGGAGCCTCTCAGCAGCATCCACAAGAGACTTACAGGAAGACCTTATAAATTGCAGTAGAAAACGCATACCTAACACCCACTAGGCCCCCATGTCCTCTGTACATCTATATAGGTCCTTGTCACTCAGACTAAAAGGGTTTCTCCCCTCTACCCTTAAGCCCACTGCTAACAACACACTAACCTTTGCACCTACTTATACACCATTATTGTCAGGAGGGCTGTTGTAGAAATGTGCATTTATTTCTTATGAATAGTGTTTTTCTAAGGTCCTTTAAGAATTTTACAAACACAACATATGCCATTGATGACCTGAGTCATAATTGGTTTGTGTTTGTTGAATTTGTTTTGTCTGTAAACTGTGTCAACCAAGTTCCTCATTGAAAATAAAATAGCACTAACTGAACAGACTTGAGATGTTTACCTCTCTTTTTCGCAAACTTCCTCCTCTGGTTTTGGGCAAAGCTGCTTTCTTGTAGTGTTGTGGTGCTGGTCTCATCTTCCGACCCCTGGACATCTGCCATACTGGCATCTGGTAACAGAAAATAGTTAAAACAAATAAATGAGACAGAAGTAGCTTTCAATAAGCTGGCTGCATTTGATCCTTTTCTTTCATGATAATTTAGTATATAACGTGAAACTAAGGTGACTGAGAAAGTTGTGCAAACTCTTCTAATTTGACAGATGGGGAGTTTAAAATATAACAAATACATTTTTTCAAAATTAAAGATTCTATAAAAGTCACCAAATATATGAATGCTCTAAATGTTGTGTGATAAGATAGTCACTTTTCCAAATGTGCATTCCCAAAAATTAACAATAAGTAGGGGAACCTGTTGTCATTGCATAGCCAAAGAAAACTGTTACAAATATTACAATCCAATAATTGATCATTCATAACCAGTGTAAAACAATGCTTCACACATACCTTCCATGACCTCTTGTGAACAGGCCTCAATTTCAACAGTCTCTGAAATGTGTATTGACAAAATACTGTATGAATGAGTTGGACAGATGAAAGTGTAGTGATTCACCTCTGACAATCAAGAGTACAACAAGGGAAACATAAACAGCTGGACTGATTAAATAAATAGTTGAATTTAAATTGCGCTGTTATAGTCAAACTCTAACCACTACAAACTTGCTCTGTTCAAACCTTTATCTTTGCATTAAAATATATTATGACTAAGTACCGTTTGGATCAATGTGAATTTCATCCAGGCTCTTTCCTTTGTATTTTCCGAGCTGTCCCTGTTCCAATGCCAGGAGAACTTTGCTTATCTTGGCGAGCTGTAGGGTCCCCTCTGGAAGGCGGTAGTGCTTTCTGTGTACATCAATGTTATGCCCAAGGAAATCTGCCAGCTGGTCAAGTTCTGTGTTCTTCAGATTCAGTACAGTAGAGAGCGTTGCTATTTGTTTCCTGAGTTTTGTTGAGGTTAGAGCTTTGGGATTTTTGATATCACTACATTCATGCACTAACTGTCTTATGCAGTCAGAACCCCTGAGGTGGTGGACAGAATGAGGCAATGCAAACAAGAAACCATTTTCAGTCAGTACCCCACATTCTTCTCGCTTCTCAACCAGAGTATCAAGAGATTCCCTCATGAGTGGAGTGAGGAGAACAGGAACTTTCCTTCCTCTCTTTCCAACTATGGTTATCCGGACAAAATGTTTGCAAAGCTTCTGCTCCAGTTCTGTAAGGGCCAAGTTAACATCTTCATGCGTTTCTGATTGGTCTCTGGACAAGTACACAGACAAGGGCATTTTGGATACTTCTCCTTCTCTCCGGCGGTTGAAGAGAATTACTTGCTCCAGGGTCACTTTTGTCAGGTCTTTCCAGTTCGAGGGGGAAACCTCTTCTTTCAAGGCATCCAAGTGTTGCTGTTGTTTTTCAGACAGCTGGGAAGGAAGTCTTTGGACATCCTGTGTGAATGGTAAGAGCTGAGGACAATTCCACTTAGACTGGTGGAGCTGAATCAGTGCTTGGCTTGCAATGTCAAATTTCCAACTTTCTTGGTAGAGCTGAGCAAATTCCTCAGCACCTTTGACAATTTCTTTATCTCTGGCCTTCAATCCTTCTGACTTCACAAACATGGCCAAAGCATGTAAGCTGTGTCCAACTTTTCTGGCCAGTGATGGACATTTATATTTGCCTGTTTCATCACTGAAGCCAGCTAAGCATCTTGCGGCAGTTACAACATGAACATACTTCTCAGGTTTTATGAGTTCTTTTATAGTCTTTACTGGTGCAACTTTTTTTGCAGCCACAATCAGCCTGCCAAGCTCCCTCAGCTTTTGTCGGATATATTGATGTTGGCTGATTACTCTTTCGTTCTTCTTGAACAGTCTGTAGCCGTACTCCAGAATGCAGCTGTCTTGCTTACAGCTAATGCAATCTTGTCTTGATTCATGTCATTCAAGAACTTCCAGTATGCATCACTAAATCCAGGTGGAGCGCGTTCAGCAAAAGCACACAGTGCCTGGACCCTTGTTTTACCTGGTTTAGATTTTTTTTCCTGAGGCTTGAATTTGCAAACCTGAAAGTGTCGCCACAGCACTCTTTTTGTAAATAGTCCATAGCAGTACACACAATGTAGAAATTCTTGTCCCTCAGTCTTTTTCTTTGGTTGTTTGAAAGGAATGAGCTTTCCTTTCTGGCTCTCGAAAGCATTGGTGTTATGTTCAAAGTTTCCTTTGTTTCTAATGAAATCTAAGTGCAGTCGTCTTTCTTTGGAGTTGTTTGGTAGACTGAACGCTTTTGTGACATCAATTTCATCATTGTGCATACGCAACAAATGTCTCAACATTTTTTGAACTACTTTTTTACAATAAAAGCAGTGATGCTTCTTGTTGTAGAGTCTTGAACCATCCTCCTTCTTCAAAACTGGATTCACATAGATGGATGCATTGTTTTCATGGTTTTCAAGGGCATCCTCATCAGCAGGACCGTTGCTTTTTTCAAAGCTGCTGCTTTGACTGGAAGACTCAAACTGGCTCTGACTGGGAGACACAAACTGGATCTGACTGGAGGACTCAGACTGGCTCTGACTGGAAGACTTGCATCTTGTAAGACTAGTAGAAACTTCGTTCATATTTTTAATTGTCATGGGTATTTCCAAGCTGCAGTCACTGTCTGTGCTCTCCTCCATTGGACCTGGAATATACTCTTCTTCGCTGTCTACACTTGAGGCATCTGATCCTACAAGAATCTTTTGAATCTTAAGAAGAAAAAGAAAGCCTAAATTAATAACTCAACCTCCTCCCTACCTTATATATGTTTAAAATGTATTACAGTCTAGGAGGTTTAATACATGCTAAAATTATGTACATTCAGAGTAGGATGAGTAAAATTCAGAGTGCTTTCAGTCAAATAAATTCACATCTATAGAGAAATACTGTTAAGTTACAACAGACTAAGGGACCCACATTTAAAAAGAATTCACTATATCAATATTAAATTTATATTTAAAAAAAGATCTAGCACAAATCTACTACAATATCTGGGTAGATAACTTTAGTGACTTCAAAAATTTAATAAAGATTCCTTCAAACACTAAACTTCCTTACAAGAGTAACAGGCATGCTCATGATGATAGTCTTTATGATTGCATCTCTCTATATGCATGTCTGGAACTTTAGTAAAGGAACTTTGTTTTAAGTTTGGGAGGCACTACCCTCAAAGTGATTACCCAAAAAAAGTAATTAGGAGACTTACAGGACAGTAACAGCCTCTCCTTGGCCTTTGTGAAGCCATCTCAGACTTAGATGGGCCCTCTGCACTGTCATCACTTGAATCATAGAGGGCATCAGAAAAATCTGGAACTTTTTTCATCTACAAAAAAAGAGTGTGTAGTTATCCTTTTTTGCAAACTATTACAATTAATTACAGTTGACAGATTTAAAGGGGAAAGGTCTGTCACTTACTTATTTGCATTCAAAGTGTCAGGGCCATACCTGAATGCTTTCTGTCCTTCTCAGCTTTGGAACAACTTCAATGTCTGATTGCACATCGGAATGGTCCTTTGTGGAATCCTCATCATTGAATTCTTCCACATTACTCTCAGTTGAATCACTAAGAGTTTGAGGAAAATCTTGTAATGTATCCAACTGCAAATAAGAGTTATGTTAGGGTAAGTTATCTCTTTTTTGTTTAGATATACAAACCTACATGTTAGAAGTAAATACTCGAAGGTTATGTCAGAATAATGGAGTAAATATATCCCAATTTGTTCGTCAAATGGGGAGGTAAGAATTAAAAAGGCAACCCCTTTGCAGAACTGTACTGAAATTGTTGAGAAAATATGAATGAATGCAATAACAATATTACTACTAAATTGGCAGCACCTACAAAAATCAACACCACGCTCACCAAGTAGAGCAACAGACATGTGCAATGATGACCATATGACCAATGATATGTATGTCTAACAGTGTAGTTATTAAAAGAGGTGTTCAGTTTGGCAGGGGTTAACCTTTAAGTGAAAACACAGAGCAATAACAAAAAGGCTTTCAGGATGGTAACAGCCTCCACTCACCCTTTGTGAAGCCGTCTCAGACTTAGACTGAGTAGAAGGGCCCTCTGTACTGTCATCACTTGAATCATAGAGGGAATCAGAAAAATCTGGAACTTTTTTCATCTGTGGAGAGTGTTACATTATGGTACAGTTATACAGTTTTGTTTGAATTTATCAAAATCAATTACAGGGAAAAGATTAAAGGGGTAAATGACTGACCAATAAATGATTGGTATTTAAAGTGTCAGGGCCTTCCAGAATGCTTTTTGTCCTTCTGGACTTTGGAACAACTTCATCATAGTGTGGACCCAATGGCTGGTCATTTAAACAATTCTCATCAGTTTCATCATTGTCAGAATAATCTACCAGGGATGGTCATCTGGCAGTAAATTCCTAAACATCATAAAAGACGAAATAATCAGGGTGTTAGAGCATAACAACTCTTATAAACACTGTGGTGCAGTTACTATAAGCAGACAGTACATACTTCACTCTAACTGTGCTGGGCTGGTAGCACCAGTGTTAGTGAATTCGCGGTTATTTGTAATGAGGGTCAGGAAATTAGAAAAGAGCCTTTTTTTCCCTCCACATGAAAGCCCACATGCTTTGTGAATTAAAACGGTTTGGAGTTGGCTCCTTTGCACAGATTAAAAAAGTGCAAAAGTTGCACAATACTTCAGTGCAACAGTCCCTCAGTATAAACAAAAAGCAGAATATATTCCTGGACATAAAAACATTCACAAGTTAGAAATGTTTGCATATGTGATGACATTTTTCTGATGGGCATTAAACTTTGAGCCAAGTAGAATTATTCTTTAAGGGTTCTCAAAAACTCTCACAACCTCAAAAAAGAGGCTGCAAAGTTCTTATTCCTAAATGTTTTCTTCATCATGCAGCAGTTTAGAATGTGTAAAATTAGAACTGGGAATACTAATGGTAAATTTAAAAAAGTGAGAGGAGTCACCCATCGATAAACAATCACAGAAAGAAAGCTCCACACAGTGGGCCCCATGAGGGTCATTTTTATAGGTCTCCCTATCTTGACATCAAAAAAGAGGCCCAAAAAGGGATCTCACTTCAAACTATTTTCGTCACCATGCAGTTGCTCATAAAGTGCATTATTTGTATTGTGAAATGCTTAGTTTGTATAGTGAGAAGTGTTGTCCTGTAGGTTAACAGTCACTGACAGAGGGTCCATACGGAGGGCCCAATGAGGACATTGTGTGTGTGTGTGTGTGTGTGTGTGTGTGTGTGTGTGTGTGTGTGTGTGTGTGGAAGAGAAAAGTTGGAAAAAACTCTTGCAGGAAGAGTAATATAGAGGGCCCCATGAAGACATGCACAGGAACATGTGAGTGTGTATCACGAGTTAGCTGACCAAATGGAAGTCAAATAGAAACTAGTCAGTCAAGTAAATAGTGTACCCTGTACCAGAACTCAACCACATTCATTCTTTCAATTACCTTTGGGCTAGCATCCTCATCCTCATCATGGGAAGACAGATTAACAGGAAGAACATCGGTCTCTTCTTCCACTGCAGAAGTCTGCTTGTATGTCACCTGGTGTTAAGATATATAAAACAAGATGGCAATGAGCTCTGACAGAAATAATAAGTCCAGACACATTTACAGGTCACAAAAGTTTGCTCACATTAAAACCATCTCTGAAACAGCATGTTACTACTCTTTATCAAGAATTAATGATAAATATCGCCTCTCTCAATACTTCCTACAACTGCAGCTATATCAGCAACTCTGACAACATGAATCAACTGCAACTGATCAAGTTAAAAAAAAAAAAGTGATAAAACTTGCAACTTTGACTGAAAACCTGCACCAGAAAAACAATGCTTATACCTTCCACACAGTTCGGAACTGCATAGTGTTGAGTAAGTTAACATAGATATTTTGTAATGGCATTATCCACATTACTTCATTACCTGTACCCCAGCATAATCTCCCTTTGAATCCTCATGGGAAGTCAGCACTGTAGGGAAGGTGTTTGCTTCTACTGCCACAGCAGAAGCCTTCTTGCTTACAGCCTAGAATTAATATAAACGAGACATGACTTTATGATCCATTTCTATGTAAAAACTCATGTAAAAATGGAAATAGAAGACTGGCCTATTTTTTTGTTCGTAAAGCAGATCTCTTTAGCACCAACACACCACTTATTAAGCACTGGTTTCAGCCTTGTGTAGACATTTTCTTTGATTAGAATGAAAGCGTGATGCAGCAGTTGCTAAAGGAATGATCTGCATACCCAAGATGTTTAATGTGGACTGCCCACAAATGTACTATAAGATCTTATGGTCTTCAAATACAGCCATTGGCCAGTTTTAGGCACTTCCAATGTCATTATTTTTCTTAGAAAAAAATACTTTCTAGTCTATGACTAAGACTATGACTCAAAGATTCTCAATTACGAGACACGTTATGTGAAGTGAACTTAACAACTTTAAAAATCATGTAGGGTGACCAATGCATAATCTAACAAGCTCACCTTTTTACGCCATGGCCATTTTGAATCACCATAGTTGTAATCAAGTTCAGTTCCTATTTCTATGTTCTTCACCGCAAACAGACACAAATGTGGCCTGTTGTTCACTACAACTTTTTTCATGATGCAGTTTGGAGATTTGTGGTTGTCATTCACTAACCTTCCAAGGGAACCATCTTCTTTGGATGCATCAATACTAAAAGATAAACAAAAACAATACATCAAACTTAGTGCTACTCAAATATCAACTTTTATAAAGTGTCTCTTCACAGTTTGATTTGAAGAGCCACTTAAGATATAGAGCACATTAAGTCTAACATTTTACTTGTTAATTCATGAAATATTTAAACACGTTTCAGGTCTAAACAAGAAAACCGTAATTGCTCCTGAAAATACATCTCATATACTTACCACCACTTGCGTTTCTGCCAATCAAATTCATACAGGAATGTACTCTGTATCTCTGAGTAGTGCCTTGATTGGCATTCTTCCACTGATATGAATTCCCCCCTGTACTCCAACACAAAAGAACCTTTCTCGATTGGTTGGGTAGCAAACACTCCTCTTCCTACAAGGAAACAGAATTAACCCAGATCAATATGTCGTCCCCCTCCTTTGGGAATATCTGTGAGCTGGATTTAATTTCCTAAATGCTCTGAAACATACCAGCTTAAATAAAGAGATGACTTTATCTAGTAATTAGCCAAATTGAATGCATGATGGTCACTGGTCTAATGATGTATTTTTGTTCCTTGAGGATCTTCTCTTTACAGTTGTGTATCATATATGTCTTTCTAAAAATGTTTTGTTCGTGACATGACTTTTAAATATATGGGGTTTCTGTTTAACAGGGACCATCATGTGTTAACCACGTGACCCATGAGCCTGTATTTCGGTTCTCTGTTTGTAAAACTAATTCTACGCATTAACTTAAAATGTCACCTCTGAAGATGCCTGACAGTTGCACAGATTTCAGTCCTTTCACGTTTTCATTACTGTCTTCTATTGGTCTAGCACCTACCTTAGTGGTATTTGAATGTGCTGGACACTATACAGTAAATACGGCAGAAATAAAATAAATAACTGACTGTATTTGATTTCACCAGTGTGTACATGAAACTTCTCTGATAGAATTCAGGCTTATTAAGACATGCCTATACCTGAACGCATTGGATTATAACAAAACAGCAGATTGAAGCCAGTTTTTTTCTGTAAAATATCTTCTGACAAGTAGCCAAAATAGTTCTTCATTCCAAATGTGTGTGTTAATGAATAGTATTTAGAAATGCAATGCTGTAATTTGCAGCTACCAAAGGGGCTTGAGGTCATACCTTTGATATTGTTGATAAATCTTTCTGCAAACCATGGCTTGTCTCTCGAAGACAGAATTTACGACTTTGCATCTTCGACAGGCTTTATCCTGGACTTCCTTTTGGACATCATGGCTCTGTGAAAATATTTTTATATCATTACACAGCTGTGCTACATGAGAAAACAGACTGCTCATTAACTTAGACATAGACATATTTATGTTCGAAGGTTTCTGATAT